TTCTATTTTTGACTTTTGGCTTTCGTGCTTCGTACTTTATTTCTATCGATAGCTACTTTTTACTGCCTTATTTTATTATCTATACTTAGTTTAGTTTTTTTTTTAAATTATTTTTTTATTATGCATAATTTGAATAGTATTACATTATTACAATACTACATTCGAGAGTGGTAATCAAATCGCTGCTGCATTAAACTCACATATATCACAACAAGCTCACATCATAAATTTGCTAAAAAGTTTATAATTTTTGCATAATATTATAAAAACGTTTTCTCAATTGTGTAATTAAATAATTGTCTCCTTTTTTCTTTCTGCTTATTCTTTATAAACATAAAAATTATTACAGCTGAAAAATTAGTTTTAATTCTTATTTTTTTGGATTAGAAGAATTTACGTTTAATACTTTAATTTTTTTTTCACAAAATATCTATTAAATGAACATAAATTGAAAACAATTTTGTCCTTACAATGATGACTACTTTATAATAAACATACATGCTGTTGGTAAGATTTTATTTACTCTATTCATCAGTTGACTTATCAGCAAAATACGCACATTTTCAATCCGAAGTACGGATATTTCACGTGCTTTTTTATTTTTCATCATGAATGCATCATTTTCACAGTTGTTATACTTGTTACTTGTTTGGGTTTTATTGAAGCTAGGCTTTTTTCTTACAGTGTAATTGATGATAACTTTTTTAAAGCTTTTGTTTACACGTAAATTGGCAATTTTTAGCATTTTTTACAAAGCATTAAGTGTAAAGTAGTGGCTATAGCAAAATTAGTGTAATTTGATAATTCAAACACTTGTAGTAATTATATTTAATAAGTATTTTTCTCGTTTAATATGTGTTGTTTATGTTTGATTTTCTAATTATTACTTACAGACTAATCATAAATGCTAAATAATTTGGAAGTATTCTACAATTTCTATGTAAATACTTGTGTGCGAAAATCTGAAGAATTTTTTTAAAGTGTAATCATTGGAATCTAACATAGCTAAAAGCATTTGATAAGGATTACTTCAACTTTGATTTGAGTCAAAGAATAAACAAGCAAAAACCGGTTTTAAATTTCATGTTGAGCAGCAATGTTATGACATTTCAATATTCTTCTACTCTTTAGGTTATCGTAACTGGAATTAACTTTGAATCATGAACGAAGCAAAAACCAAATTGGCAGTTAACTTTAACTTTAACTTTAACTTTTAAGTATTTTCTTTGCAAACAAATAGGAAGTGCTATTTAGTCTAACAAATTCAAGTAGACATTAAAATAATGCATTTATTGTAAAAAATAAAACTATTATTTCGAGTGTTTTTCATTACTTTACAGTAATTGACTCTTTGGTGTGTTTTATTTTTTTCGGCTCAGAAAGTTACTTCTATTTTCTCAATTATTGTTTAATATTTTACACTTTATGTGTTTGGTTGCTGAATAAATTTCAAATTTGAGCTCTATGTTCTTTGATTTGTTGTTGCAGTCTATTTTTAACTGTTTATTCTAGCTAGTTTTGTTTTGGTGAGCTGTAAATTAGGCTTAAGTATATAGTAGGAAAAAACAAACAGTATAGTTTCTATTTTCACTTTTTAATTTTTTATTAGTAACAAAAATAACTAAAATAGTACATGTAATTAATAAGGTAAGTAATAAGCATCTTATAATTAATAAGCATCTTGTAATTAATAAGCATCTTATATGTGTATATTTTTTGTTACAGTAACAAACAAATATTTGTTATTTTAAAGTTTTGTTATTATTTCAACTGTCATCCGTGCCTTACTATAACTGTCCTTTCTAAGCCCTGAGTTAGTGACTAACTTTTCATATTAATTATTAAAAATGTTGTTAGACTGTAAATAATAAATTCTTTTTGTATTTGACTTCATTTTTCCAACTGTGAAGAAGCATTCAAGTGTATGTAATGAATTTTATTTTTCAAAATAATAAACTATCCTTGTGTTGATTATTATTCTCTAAACTATTTCATATTATAGCAATAATTGAAAATTCACTTAAAATGAGCAGAGTAATGTTGAAGTAATTAAGTTAGGTGCCAATTACAAATTCTGATAAGCCTATTACATTTATTACAGTAATGAAAGCCATAAATACAGTAACTGTTGCCAGAATATCATAATTGTTGTCCATTTCTTTTCTATTTTGTGCTGGTATTTGGACTCGTTTGCTAAGCTAAGCAATTTAGTTTCTTTTTTTTCAGACTGAAAAGAATCTAAATTTTATTTGATAAGTCAAAAGACATTTCAAGCAAGAATTTTTTTATCTCTAGAAATGAGCATGCTGGGATAAAAGCTTTATAGTGGTATTTTTTGTACAAAACGAATTTAATAGAAAGGATGAAAATTTTCGATAAGTTTTGCTTAATTTTCAAGCAAAAACAAATTTCAGTAGCAGCTAAACTATATGGCAATTTTAAAAGTCATATTTTTGTTCAATCATCTGACTGACATTTTTTTCAGAACTATTTTTAACTAATATCTCTCATAATCACTCATAGTAAGCGACTGATTTCAGTAACATTTTAAAGCAAAACAATGTGCTCAGGCTTGATGTCAGCAAGCTTTAATCTTTTTAAATAATCCCATAGCAGTTGATATTGAACTGAAAGTTCTAAGCAGTTAGTTAAAATTTAGTCTTATTAGTAATGTTTTCACAAGAAAGGAAAATTTTTTTGTACCAAAAATACAATAAATAAACAATAGCTACAGTAAATAATACAGTAATTGTTATATATTTGATGATAATAATTTGAAACTGATGATAAGAAGACATATATTTTATGGATATTAGAAAGATATTCCATGTTAAATATATTAAAATATTAAAAGTCATATTTATCAGACAAAATTACTCGAAATTAATTAATGCGAATTTTCTGTAATTTTGTAATTTCAGTGTTAAAAAACTATGAAATCGAATTTAAAATAGAATTTAACCCTATTCGGTAATTAATTTTATTTAATTTTTTCATTTAAATATTCCTATTCTCCATGCCATTTATGAGACATATGGAAAGCATATGATTTAGAGCAGTGGATTGAATTTTCTTTACCTTTAATTATTTTAATTTTTTAACTTCTTAAAATGAATCAATACATGTAATAAGTTAAGTGGACATGTGTACATTTTTTCAAGCAAAATTTGTATGATTTTTTAAGCTATTA